TTTGAATGGAATAAAGAACAGAAAGTAACTTTCCAAACTCTGAAGAAATAGTTAAGCACAGCCTCAATGTTACAAAATCCCCGGTCCCAGGATCAACGTTTATTTTGGATAAGGACAGTTGGCACGGTGGATTGAGAGACTCCAAAGTTACGACTTCTTTATAGAACATCGCAAAGGTAGTAGTTATGGCATTGCTGATGCCATGTCCCGCAGTCCCTGTAATTTGGAATGCAGGCATTGCTCGAAAGCTGAGGCCAAAGAAGACATTATAGATGTCCGATTAATGACTATAACATCCGAATGGGATCCGGAGGAGCTACGGAAATGTCAGCAAGAAGATCCAGATTTGAAAATTGTAATACATGGATTGGAGATAAATAAACGTCCAACGAGAGAAGAAATAGCTGCAGAAAGCCCAGTCGCAAAGGCTGGGCACAATGGAATAGTTTGAAGTTAGTATCTGGCTGCTTGCATCGCGTATGGGAAAGCGTAGGTGGGCAAAGATCACGAGCTCTGTTGTTCCAAAAGTATGAATTCCTGAAGTTCTCAACGAGCTGCACAACGATCCAAGTGGAGGACACATGGGTATCACTAAAACCTTGGAGAAATTAAAACAAAGATTTTATTGGGTTGGTTGTCGTCAATCAGTTACGGAGTGGATCGCCAATTGTGTCGAGTGCATTGCTGCTAAAGGGCCGCGGTCCAGGAGTCATGGTCAGAGGAAACAGTACAATTCAGGTGCGCCGTTTGAGCGAGTAGCCATGAATGTAGCTGGTCCATTTGCTATCAGTAAATTAGGAAACATATATGTTTTGGTAGTCATGGACTATTTCAGCAAATGGCCAGAAGTATACGCAATTCATAACCAAGAGGCAGGAACAGTAGCGGATATATTCATCAACAATTGGGTATCGAGATATCAATAGAATTATATTCTGAGCAAGGGAGAAATTTTGAATCAGCTCTAATACAGGAAATATGCCAGAAGCTGGGTATTCGGAAAACCCGTACAACTGTACTACATCCGCAGTCCGATGGCATGGTAGAAAGATTCAATCGACGAACATTTGAGGAAAGTTGTGTACAAGTATCAAAAGATTGGAGTACCTATATAATCCTTGTTCCTGATGGCTTGTCGGTATGCTGTCACATGATAGAACGAGGCAGACTCCAGCAAGGATAAATTTTGGTTGGCCAACGGAGGAAGGAATACTAAGGAATTTAAGCATCACAGCAGTTTAGTAGTGGACACAGCGCACAAAATTATGAGCGATAAGATGAAAAAATACGACAAGGCAAATAAACTCTAAGGGTTTTATTGAAGGCGATTGGGTATTGTTATATAACCTATAACGAAAGAAGGGTTAGCTCCCAAATTGCAGTGTAATTGGGAAGGACTATACCAGGTTATTAACGACTCAATGATGTAGTGTATCGCATACAGACCATTGGAAGACCAAGGAATAAATGAGGTGGTTCATCTTGAATGGCTTGCAGCGTTTGGTACCGCAAATATGTCTAACCGGGACGAACAGACATAGGTAGAAGGCAGTGTGGCGAACACGAATACCAGAACAAATCAGGAAATCGAGAACTGCAAGGCTACAGAAAGCAGACAGCAGAATTAAACTCGGCAAGAAGCATACTAGAGAACGAATTCATAGTTGCCAGAATGGTTCTAGTATAACTATGCAGAGTACACAGTTATAACGATGGTTCAATGTTTGCAATTTAGGGATATCGGAAGTCCTAATTGCAATAGTTCTAACGATCGGATGAGTAAATGATTGACACGATGATGATTTATTGAAAATACGGTAGTGAAATGATATTTAATCGACATCTACTGCGATTACTGTATTCGAAACTAATCGTCATAGAAAACGGTATTATTATTTATCGTCGGTAAAAGATAAAGAATCATGTATCTAGAAGAAAAGTGAACAATGTTTCTCCATACATTGTCAATATGGAAAGAAGCGTGTTCTTTTAACGATGACTGGAAATTGAATGACATATTAAAAGTCATTGGGAGGTGCTCGTTCAAAAAATAATGAAGCATTTGATTCCCTTGGAATGATTGCAACTTTGTTACGACTGACTATACAGAAATTAAGCGTCACATATATTATCATGGTATTACACATCCTTGTAGTAAGAGGAAAATATGAATGTGAGCAAATCCAAATATTCCTAGTTGCAGTGCTCGTCCAAAAGAAGCTGATAAGATCCCGATTTGAAGAGTAACTTTCTTTGTGAATGGACCGATTGTCACGACGATTTGTGTCTATAGTTGAATTTCAAGATCAATTGTTCAACATGCATTATTGAATTATGAGATTCAAACTACATCCGCAGTCCGATGGCATGGTAGAAAGATTCAATCGACGAACATTTGAGGAAAGTTGTGTACAAGTATCAAAAAGATTGGGATACCTATATATCCTTGTTCCTGATGGCTTGTCGGTATGCTGTACATGATAGAACGAGGCAGACTCCAGCAAGGATAAATTTTGGTTGGCCAACGGAGGAAGGAATACTAAGGAATTTAGTAGCACACACAGTTTAGTAGTGACACAGCGCACCAAAATTATGAGCGATAAGATGAAAGCAAAATACGACAAGGCAATAAACTCTAAGGGTTTTATTGAAGGCGATTGGGTATTGTTATATAACCTATAACGAAAGAAAGGGTTAGCTCCCAAATTGCAGTGTAATTGGGAAGGACTATACCAGGTTATTAAACGACTCAATGATGTAGTGTATCGCATACAGACCATTGGAAGACCAAGGAATAAAATGAAGGTGGTTCATCTTGAATGGCTTGCAGCGTTTGGTACCGCAAATATGTCTAACCGGGACGAACAGACATAGGTAGAAGGCAGTGTGGCGAACACGAATACCAGAACAAATCAGAATCGACGATAAACTGCCAGAAGCAACTAGAAAGCGAATTCATGGTTGCCAGAATGTTCTAGTAGTGAACTTGCAGCAGACACAGTTCTAATTAGAGTGTTGCCGTTAAGCTATATGCAATAAGTTATAAACTCGAATATCGAGCAATAAGTTTCAAGTTGTTGGAATAAGGATAAGTGTATAGCCATTAAATTGGGACTTTAATTTAACAATCTAGTGATCGAACTCAAGAGTGAGTTACAGATAGCCGATTTATCGAGAAAACTGTTGCAATATTTTATAACGAATATCGATTTTTTTTCGAAACTAATCGTCTTGAAATCACAGGTATTTGTGTATTTTAGTGTTATAAAATTGAACAAATCGTATAATGATTTCCTCGAAGAAAAGTAAACAAATTTTTCCTCCAGTACCATGTCAATGGAAAGAATGCGTTGGTTCTTTTAACGATGACTGGAAATTGAATGAGCATATTAAAAGTCATTTGGAGGTGCTCGTTCAAAAAAATAATGAAGCATTTGATTGCCCTTGGAATGATTGCAACTTTGTTACGACTGACTATACAGAAATTAAGCGTCACATATATTATCATGGGTATTACACATCCCTTGTAGTAAGAGGAAAATATGAATGTGAGCAAAATCCAAATATTCCTAGTTGCAGTGCTCGTCCAAAAGAAGCTGATAAGATCCCCGATTTGAAGAGTAACTTTCTTTGTGAATGGACCGATTGTCAACGAGCATTTGTGTCTATAGTTGAATTTCAAGATCATATTGTTCAACATGCATTATTTGAATATGAGATTCAGAAATCTCCGAATGATACTCGGCCAAAAGTTAAATGCAAATGGAGCATTTGCCGCAAGCTTTTAGAAAATAAGTATCGGCTAATTGAACATATCTTTACTCACGCGAATAAAAAATCACTTGCATGCTATCGCTGCGGTGAAGTATTCAGGACTAGGACAACTTTATTTGACCATCTAAGAAGACAACCTGAAAATAATAGTCAGTATTAATTATTGAATAATATTACATATTATATTAATTTATTTGTTGAAATTATTTAAAATTTTAGCTCACAAATTTCAATGTGACCAGTGCTTTAAATATTTTGCGACAGAAAAACTATTACGATCACATTTCTTAAAACACGTAAATTGTTACAAGTGCAGTCTCTGCAATATGTCCTGCCCGTCTTCAAGTTCATTAGCCACACATATACGTTATCGGCACCTGAAGGATAAGCCTTTTAAATGTACTGAATGTGAACATCGTTGTGTACGAAAAAGCGACTTGCAAAAACATATGAAACACATTCATAGCAATCAAGTTCATCGTTGTGAACAATCTGGGTGTAATTATGCTGTACGGACATATAATTTATTAAGACGAGTAAGACTTTATCGATAATTTATAGCTTATTTTTTAATTAATCACTATCCAAACACTTCAATTTCAGCATTGTTTGGAAGTTCATGGTAACAGTCCATTTATATACATGTGTCATTGCTGCGATAAATTATTCAAACATAGTAAATATCTGTCAAAGCATTTGATCAAGAAACACGACTTTAAACTACCATCTGGACATAAACGGTTTACATACCGTATTGATGAAAATGGATTTTACTTACTAGAAACATTGCGAATTGAAAGCTTAGAAGTAACTAAACAAATTTTATCACCCCACCCCGTGGAAGCCTCTGACTTAACGGAAGATAGTAGTTGTTATGAGATAGTTTCTATGACTAACGAACAGGATCAACGTGTAATTGTTCCAAATGATGCAAATGAAGCACAACTAGTAGGTGAAGTTGTTATATCATTGCATTTAGGCAACGAGAGTTGATTACATAATAAAAAAAATTAACAAACATTTACATTTTAATACTTGACTCAATTTTACCTTGTACCATGGGTATTTAGAATAGTATATTATCATTAAACTCTATTCCTACTCTAGAACATTTTAATACATTATAAATAAACAATATGTGTATGTTTATAAAATCGAATGGAGTTTTGAAGCGAAAAGCATTGCGCCTCTGCTAGAATAGGAATTTTTTTATTAGTAATGCATTTTGCATTTTGTTACGGATTAACCTTTTAGTTTAACACTAGATTTACCAGCTATTTAAATATACCTATTTGTACCAAAACCAGCCAAAATTACTGGCTTATAAGAAGAAATGGCTATTGTGGTTTTAAGTCTTTATTCTCTCTTAAAACAACAAACAAGACTAAAAAGTTAAACAATATTAATTGTAATAGATAAATGGATTTATAGACAATTGAAAATAATAAAACATTTAATTGTTCAGTTTGTCGCTCACAATTTCCACATATGTAGATTTTGCTTTATATACACTTTCCACATAGACTTTTTTGCATTTATTGCAAACATTTGTAGTTTTGTTGTTATTGCAGTATCCTATTTGACACCATTTGCGTACAGAAACCGTGCCTTTCGTAGTTGTTACATCAGCTTCGTTTAGTTTTTGCCTTGAAGTCTGATATTCTGTAGCAAGTTCTTCTGCTAATCGAAACAGAGAGTCTTTCCGTGAGATATTTTCTCCTGTTGTGTTTTTGTACAATATCCAGCTATTGATTCCGGCTAAATCTAAAATATTGAAAAAACCTGAAGTGGCCACCTTCTGGAACCTGATTTCACAAAAAAAAAACCTCGTAATTCTCCCGGAACAAACATTACTTCACAGAATTATGCACCAGTACATGTCAATAACAAAAAATATATTTGTTACTAATATATATATAAAGTAACATTAAGTTCGGGAAATGCATTTTCTATTTATAGCTTCAAAAGTCATAACACCATTTCGGAAAGCAAATGTTATATGTAATAGAAATTTAGAATTTAAATTACACGACCTGGTCTGGTAAATCTTATGTATATATTCCTGAATAAAAAATACGCGTTTTAAAATTTGTTAACTTTGCCTATATTTATTTAAAACAAAAACTTTGTAAAAAAAAAAAAAAACCCACATAACATTAGCTCCATTCACTTGAGCAGCTTATAAATCAAATATTAACCACATTTTTTAAGTCATTAGGCAAAAGATCTTTCATACAATTAATTTGGGCACGTATTAGCTCTTGAGTGGTACTATTGTTAGTGTTATCGGTGAAGAGATTCATTTTTTGTTTTAATTTAAGTATCATGTCTATTATTTCTACCTCCTGCTTATCTTGGGCCCATTTTTCAAGGTTCGCTACCGAAAGTGCTTGAAGCTGCAAGTCTTGTAAGGTTAATTGTAGGTCACGATGTCTTGAATTGTACCATCCACGAAAATTTGGCGAGTTGAAGAATCTACGATACAATCCCTTCCAATCACCTTTTAAAGGCGAGGTTAAATGTGGTCCAGAATGCTCAATAGTGGCCAAAAAGTCTTCCAATTTAAAAGCATTTGCATTTGGTGCGGACTTAAAAGGACTTATATCTTTCTGTAAGGGCATTAACGAAGCTATATAACGTTCCAGCGGTATCATAAAACTTTGCGTAAGTTCCAGTAAATTTCGGCGCAATAATGCTGTTTGCACATGATCAGGTCGTTTTGTTTTAACCCCCGCTATAACCTTTTTAATTAAATTCTTGTCTTTTTTAAGAAAAGGTTTATATTTCGTGTACAATCCTGGGAGCGCGCCATCACTGATAGCTGCACTTGAATTTAGTACCAAAGAGGAGCCTGCATTAGGTAATCCTTTTTTTATATTACCTATACTGCTCGAATTAAATGATGTTATTGAATCCGAATTTGTAATAATTTTTTGAAGTTGTTGATGTTGCTGCATGTTAATCTAAAAATATTTTAAAAATCATATTTAAATATATAAGAAAGGGCTAAGTTCGGGTGCAACCAAACATTTTATACTCTCGCAATTAGCAAGCTTAAAACCTAGGTATTAGCAAAGTTGGATAAGAATTCATGGATTATCCGACCGAAATTGCGAGAGTATAAATATATATATGGTATATAACCTATAACCATTAAAGCTTTATATGTCAAAAACTTATATGTTTTTACCTGATTATCGACTAGTCGCAATATGTGCGGCCAATCCTTGAGTAACTTTATGAAAAACGGATTTGTTACTCCTAGTATTACAGGAGGTGGCGTTTTTCCATATTCCCTCGTGTATTCTCTGAACTCGCTGTCATGTATTGTAAAATAAGGTCGTGCCTCAGCGCAATATTCAATTGGAGCTATTAACGAAACAAGACTATGCACCATATGTGAGCAATCAGCGGGTGAGGTTCCAACAATTACAATAGGTTCAGCAATTAACACTAATTCCCACAATGTATACAAATTCTCCAAAGTGAAACATAGACATGGAAATAGTTCCAGTTCGTTAACAGAACTCAAATTTTTCATAGAGAAAATATTGGATGAAGTGTTTTTAATTGTATCATTTGTTTGTCCAACAGTTCCGCCCTTTTTACCACTTATCGTTGGTATATTAATTTGATATATGTAATCAAACAGCTGTAAGTCCAAGAAAACGCCTGCTTGTAACCTGGGCCATGTTCTGTTTATTTGATCACAAGCCCCTATAATAATTGAGTTGCCATTTTCAAAGTACTTTGGTGCCAGTTGATCCACAATATTATAGAAGAGATTACAAAACGGAAGATGCGTCACCAATATAAAACTTTTTTGAAAATACCCTCTCGGAAGATTAGCATCACGCTTTTGCCGGAAATACACAAATCCCCAATAATGTGAATCGTCTACATGGAGAGCAGATATACAATCCGAGTTATATGAGTGAAATATTTTTTTCAAGTTTCCGTTGTAACTTTCTCTATGCATCCTTCGAAGACGCATATGGAATTTTGTGTCACCCATACAGCCGGAGTTGGAATCCGGAAATGCCATATAACATATATTAGCAGTTTCTGTCTCTGAAGGTACGAATTGAGGTGGATAAACAAATTCAAGTGCTTGTCCTATGTTCAAATCAAATGTTATGACACACATACAATGAATCCATTGTGAAAAGTTTGACCAATGATTAATATCGTTATCACAAATATTAATTTCACTTGTAACTCTTGAGCATTCGTTATTATCAGTTAAATTATTTGTTGATATAGATTTGTCTGTCATTTTACAAATTTATCGATGCACTTTCACTTATGGTTATTTTTGTGTCCAGTGTCATCCTTGCCAGTGTTATGGAACAAGTTTCTATCAAACAAAATATACTGTCAAAATTGAAATAAAGTTTCAGTACCAATATTAAGAGCTGCCAACAGCCAATAATAATAAAATGTAGGATTTGGTTTTCATAGTTATAATTACAATTTCTTTTGAAGTATCAGCTTGATTTTGTTTGTTGTGTGTTATTTATTTGAAAGCTTATTAAATTTTTTTAAAAATCTGATGTATATTAACCTACACAACACACAAGTGTGCATTTCATTGTTAAATATTGGAAATTCCTACAAACATGAAACACAGGCTGTGTGTGAAAGGTAACATTTTTCTCTGTCTTAAGCGGCGTTTACATGTCATTTTTGTATGAACACATGGTATGATGCAAAAAAACTGGTTTTCGTTTAAACGGTCGAACATGCAATCATACTTTATTTCTCTGTTATTTGTGAACGAAGCAACATCAAGGATGAAATTACGAGGATGACATGATGCGAGACTCTCTCATTTTCCCTGATTTTTCTGTTATTCTCTTTCCCTGATTATTAAAATCAGGAAATTTCGAACAGCTGATGTCAAAAACGGCGGGATGCCAGAAATAAACCCGCTAAAAATAGCTAACAAAAGCAGTTCGAAACGAAATTTCAGGGAACGACACAAATACTGTTGAATAACGTGCAACTAAATTTTATTTGCTAATTTAATTTAAAACATTCATCATAAAACTATGATATTTTATTATGACTTGTATTGTTTCTTTATTATAATTTTTTTTATTTATATGTTTTTTTTATGTTATATGATTTTTTAAAAAATTTATAATCCAGCCATCCAGAAGGCTTCGATAAATTTCAAAGAAGTCCTTCCACAGTTCTTCGTTTATCCGTGACGCCATTGCGCTTCGATGTTTGCTTACGACTGAAAAAAATATACTGCGTGCATGATGCAAACGTTTACACCATAAAACATGTTCATAACAACATCATGTTTTTAAAAATTTTTAAAAACCATCGCACATGTATGACGAACACGAATTTATTATGTTTACACGCTCATTCTTCTTATCACGCCGCACATGCTTGCAAACATAATTGACCGTGTAAAGGCAGAGAACGTATATCATAGAGAAGGTTCATGCAGAGAACTTAAAACAATGAGAAGGTGCAAATTGAATTTTGTATGATGCTCGATTGGTTGGCTGAAAATTTGAGATCAAGGAGTTCACCACTTTCTGTACAGTTTAGCTGTTATTTAACAGAAATGAGAATGTTAACAACGTTCTCTGACAAAATACGTATCTACCAATATAAAGAGAAAATGAAATGAATGAATGAGAAACAAGAAATACATGCCACTTCACATATGCATGATTATTTTGCCACATAAACGATTTTATGATGAAAATTGATAAATTATTATTATTTCACAAATGCTACATTGATAAATGTGAAAGATTATGCAAAAATGATATTTTACTGTTTTCATAATTTTCTAATTTCAATATTTACAGAATTAATAATTTATGTATGTACATCAATATGTTATATTATATAATATAATAATATATATCAATTATCAATAATACATGTGAGCGCACTGTCTATATGTAAGTATGTATGTACAAATATGCATATGACCGCGCAAAATAAGTAATGCATACACAAATCTACATACAAGAATAATACAATTGTTGTACAAACAACAATTGTCTCAAATAGCATCAGCAGCAGAAATCAATATGGCAGCCAAATTGACAAATCCTAAATTTGCAGTAAATCACACACAACAACATTTTCATTCATGAACGCTGGCGCACAAGCAATAAGCTAGTCGTTTCATTCATAAAGCAAACGCCTTACACATCTCCCGAGCATGCGTTTGCCTACAATGCGTTTTTCGCGACGATGGCAAAGCTAAAAATCATAAATTGAACAAATTTCTGATATTCCCTAGAAGGAAAAGTGACAACCCTCAAATATGAGTATTAAAATATTTAGAATAAAAGTGACAACATAGTAAATTTGTCGATTTACAATCAAGAAACTTTTAAGAAAAATTCACATATTCTCTGATTTATGTATACAGTAAACCCGTTAAGTATCACTCTCCAATCCTCTTATCTGCCGGTGTCTTGCTGCATCTCACTTTTTCTTAATTTTTAAAGAAAACGGTAATTTTTAAATACATAGAAAATTTTTGGTACACTGCGTTAAGTACCACAATCGCTTATGTACTACAAAGCAAAAAAAATCTGAATCTTTGGTTTTGGCACTTAACCGGGATTGACTGTATTTGTCAAAGAATTTACGTAAGTACGTTCGAATTTTTTGGACACACATTGACTTTGCACTTGCCCATATGCGATGTATGTTTGTAAGAGTGTGTATGGCACATCTCGGATTTTCTACCAACAACACAATGTTGTGACGCTTTGTCGTCGCGTCAGTTCTTCGACAACGGAGATTTCACATGAAGTAATGAGTGTACATATCTACATAAAAATACATACAAATGTGTAAACGACATAATATATGTATGTCCTGTTAGCATATGTTTACATCATGCATTTGAAAAGAAAATTGAAGCATGAATGTGAAATACCGACGGCAAAACACAATTGTACTTGCATGACTCCATAATGGTGTCAAGTACAATTAATGAATTATTTAAGAAATATATCAAAACTTTATTAGTAATAATTTAAAAGTATTTAGATATATTTCTATAATAAAGTAAAAATGAATTAACATAAATAATTAAAAAATAATAATAATAGTTCAATAAAGGGAATATATTTCAAATGGCATATCAATATGCCACAGTTTTGCTCACATATTATATTCTCTTCAATATTCGTCGGTTGGTTATGTTAAGAAGCGTATGTGACAGATTCACCGCTGTTATAAAAGCGAAAATGTTATTTGTTTCTCGTGCATCTGTGGTGAACTCCTTGATAAATTCTACAAATTGTTCGCTGTCGAACCTGCACCTTCTCATTGTTTTAAGTTCTCTGGTTCATGGTGTGCCGATTGTCAAATGTTCCTCTTGACGGAGGTTACTCGCCAACATTAGTGCATTTCACCACAAACAAATTATAAGCTGATTTCACCAGAATTTTACCCTGCGGAGCAAAATAGCAGAATTGAGCATTTTGAATGTTAAATGAGAAAAATAATGCTAAATTCAATGTTAAGAAATGTAGCTTACAGATTCGTATATTTACAATGCGCAAACGGCTTGCATATAATTTTAAGATATTCTGCATATACAGGGCGGCTTACGAATCGTGCTACAAAATTAACCGTAATAAGTTTCTTTTATCAATCTTTTGTATTGTATAAAAATTTTAATTTTATTTTATACAATTAATTATTCTCCATGCTCAGCCACATATGGCGACACCTAATTAGAAAATTAATGCGGGCTGGAGGGTTCAAGTCGGAATTGCCTCAAATATCTATTTAATGGACTGCTTCAGTTCAGTCAGATTTCTGGGTTTGATTTTGTATCTCTTGCTTGACATAACCCATAAAAAATACAAGCGAAACAAAAGTGAAAGTACCCATTATAATTGTTAATTTGTCTATATGCAACGAATGTATGTAAATAGTACACTCATTGTTTCATGGAAATCAGAACCATACACACTCTTACAAACATACATCGCATATGGCAGTGCAAAATCAACCCTTATTCATATCAACGTGGCATGCGTAAATGGAAACAAAGTCAACAAGTCATGTGCATATATACGGGCAGATGTGTTACAAAAATTCGAATATTTACATACGCACATTCTTTGACAAATACAGTCAATCCGGTTAAGTGCCAAACCAAAGATGCAGATTTTTCTGCTTTGTGGTACATAAGCGATTGTGGTACTTAAGGATGGTACAATAATTTCTATGTATTTAAAAATTACCGTTTTCCTTAAAAATTAAGAAAAACGTGAGATGCAGCAAGACACAGGCAGATAAGAAGATTGAGGAGTGATATTAACGGCGGTTACTGTATACATAATCAGAGGAATATTGAATATTTTCTTTAAAAGTTTCTGCATTGTAAACCACAAATATACTATTTGTCACTTTATCTAAAATATTTTAATACTCATATTTGAGGGTTGTCACTTTTCCTTCTAGAGGAATATCAGAATTTGTTCAATTTATGATTTTAGCTTTGCCATCGTCGTGAAAAGACGCTTGTAGGCAAAGCATGCTCGGGATGAGGATCTGTTTTTATGACATAAGCGAGGTTGCTTTAAAGTACGCCTGCGTTCATGAATGTAAATGTGCTTTGGCTCGCCTATTTGGCTGACATATGACTTGTGACGATTGTTGTTTTGTAGAACAATGTTTGTAGTTTGCAGGGTGACATATTAACATGTGTACGCATATACATATGTATGTATGTTGGTTGTGTATGCATTATTGTTGCGCAATTTATGTATACATACTATATGCGTGTCATATAAATCAATGCGCGACATATAGTGTATTGATAAGTGATAAAATCATGATTTGAATTTCTGATGTACATTCAAATACATACTACATACATATGACTATATAAGATTAATTTGTAATAAATTTAATCTCTATTATTATAATATAATATAAACTATTAAGTATGAATGTATATTAGGTAAAAACTAAATAAAATTATTAATGCCCAAATTGACTATACATATATTTCGAAATTCCATATTTAATAGATCTTATCAGTTTGCATGCATTCATAAAAATTCGCAAAATGATATTAATATCAAAATATGATTGCATATAAACGTATAAGAATATAAGCCAAAGGCTAACATGCAGCTGTAATACAAAGCAAGTCTCTGAGAATAATTTTCATTGAATTCTCAGCTCTGTTGACTCTCTACTGTTAAAATTTCTCCTTTGAGCCAGATTAGGTAAATTCACTAATAAATCTTGTTAGGTTTGACATTTCACAGTGGTCCGCAATGAACCTTCTTATGATATACGTTCTCTCGCAACTACGGACAGAGAACGTACAGAGAACGTATATCATAGAGAAGGTTCAATTGCAGGACCAGCTGTGAATTGTCAAACCCAACAATGATTTTAATAGTGGATTTCACCACTTTGGCTCGGAAGGAGAATTTAACAGTGAGAGTGAACAGAGCTGAGCATTGTATGAGAAATTATGCTCAGAGACTGCTTTGATATTACAGCTGCATGTTAGCTTTTGCTTATATTTTTATACGTTTATATGCAATCATATTTATTGATATGAATATCATTTGCGAATTTTATGAATGCATGCAAAACTGATAAGATCTTTAAATTATGAAATTTCGAAAAATATTTATATCAATTTGGGCATTTAATAATTTTATTTAGTTTTACACTAATATACATTCATACTAAATAGTTTATATTATAATAATAGAGATTGAATTTATTACAATATATTTACATATGTATGTACATCTTTTATCATATTAATCTTATATAGTCATATGTATGTACGTATGTATTTGAATGTACGCATTCAGAAAGTCAAATCGTGATTTTATCACTTATCAATACACTATATGTGCGCGCATTGATTTATATGTACACGCATATATCTACATAAAATTGCCCAACAAATAATGCATACACAAACCAACCTACATATGTGTGGCGTACATGTAAATATGTCACCCGCAAAACTACAAAGCATTGTTCTACAAAAACAATAATCGTCACAAGTCAATAGTCAGCAAATAGCCGAATCCCAAATTTATAGTAAATCACACAACAACAACATTTTCATTCATGAACGCAGGCGTACTTTCAACAAGCA